ATCTATCTATTGTTGTTCTAGTTTTTCGTTATTGCATGGTTCTAAATGCCTCGTTCTTCTCATCTGTTATTTTTTTGCAGTCTTGGTCGAACCAGTCGTTTCTTTCTTGGGTTCGGGATATTCCCAATGTGCTTTCGGCTGCTAATTTCAGAGCCTCCTTGTAGTTGTTCCACATTTCCGTGCTTGACTGGTCGACTGCCCAGGTGTGTTCTAGGGTTTCTTTTATATGTGACTGGAACTGTTTCTCATTGTTTTCATTTTTTAGCATATGTAAATTATATTTTACTTGTCTAGTGTCCCTTTCTTTCTTGGCATTGGAAATTCTTTGTCGTAACTTGGCCCCTACCATAAAATGATCTGAGTCAATATTTGCTCCTCTGTAACTTCTTACGTCCATTAGGTTTGTAAAGTGCCTTCTGTCAATTATAACATGGTCGATTTGATTTGTGGTGTGTCCATTTGGTGATATCCAAGTGGCTTTATGGATATTCTTGTGATTAAAACATGTACTTCCCACAATTAAATCTTTGGAAGCTGCCAGACTAATAAGCCTTAAACCAATGTCATTAGTAACGTCGTGAAGGCTATGTTTACCAATATAATCTTGGTAGCATATCTCTTTTCCTATCTGGGCGTTCATGTCTCCAATGATTATTTTAATATCGTTTTTGGCACAGTTATCATATGCTCTTTCGAGATCTTCGTAAAATAGATCTTTAATTTCTTCGTCTTTTTCCTCGGTTGGCGCATGCACGTTGATCAGGCATATGTTGAAAAATTTTCCTTTCATTCGAAGGATGCATAACCGATCATTTATGGCTTTAAAACCAATAATTAATTTTTGATTCTCTTTGATACTAGGAACGCGGTTCCGAACTCATGTCGGTTTGGGTTGCAGCTGTAATATATATCATGTTCTTTTTTCTGCAAAATGCCGGTTCCTGTCCATCTCATCTCTTGAATGGCTACAATGTCTATTCTATATTTTAGGAGTTGATCTTGCAGCAGCTTCAGTCCCGCTTCCTATACAGCGTTCTTACATTCCAAGTACTGATCTTTAAATCATTGTCCATAGTTCGGTGCGTGGGTCGTCGTCTTAAATTCAGTCCGGCTTTTCTATCTCGAGATTTCGTAAAAATAGGTTTTTATGGGATGAGGGAGTTAGCCTCATGCCCAACCCCCTTTTCGGAGGACCATTTCTCCCTTTCTCGTCAGCCCTGACCCTACCTTCCACTGGGGTTGGTTACCCAGTCTCCAGTAGGGTTGCTCAGGTTTACCGGGGTTCACCCGTGTGATCCGGATCACACTTCTCGGAGGTGAGGATAAGAATTGAGTAGGAGAGGCTAGAGGTGTTATCTGGAAGCAACACCTTATAATGCGCATCACTACTCCATTAAAACCCCCTTAAATAATTGTACCATTGATATTTATATCTTCTCTTAAACCATCAATAGCTTCCCTGAACAGCATTTTTGAGTAAGTATTGAACAACGTCGGTGAAAAAATGCAGCCCTGACGGACTCTTCGTTTTATCGTGAATTCTTGTACGGTTTCGTTGTCTACTCGTACAGTTGACTTTACTGCAAGTAAAAATTTTTAATTAGGCGTAAATCTTTGTCGTTTATATTAGATTCTTTCAATATCTGGAATAATTTTTTGATGTTGAACTTTGTCAAATGTTTTTTCAAAGTCTATAAAGCATGCGTAGACTTCACAATTTACGTCTCAAGCTCTTTGTATTAATACTTGTATGAAAAATAGGGCCTCTTGCGTTCACAGTCCGCTTCTACACCTAAACTGAACATTGCTAATGTTTTCTTCAAGGTTTCTATATATGCGATAGTGAATAACAGAAAATAGGACTTTGAGCGTATGGCTTATTAACCTTATAATTCAGTAATCAGAGCATCGGTGACATTTGCTCTTTTGGGGAGAGGGATGAAGATGGCAACTAGCCAATCTGTAGGAAATTCTGCAGTTTTATACATTTTGTTCAGTAGACTCATTAGGAGTTTGAGTTGGCTGTTTTCAAATAGTTTCAATATTTTAGCTAGTATGTTATTAGGTCCAGATGCTGTGTTGGTTTTTAGTCTTTTGATTTCATATCTTACTTCCCTGAGCGTTATTTCTGGGACTGAACATCCAGAAACACTGACTGCTGTCTCTTGCTCTTCCTTGAATATGTCTTTCATGTATTGCCTCCATATATCAAGTATTGCCTCCCTATATCAAGTATTGCCTCCATCTATCAAGTATTGCCTCCATGTCTCATTTTCGTAGAGCAGATTGTTGTGCTCGTCTAGTATTAAGTTATGACGTCATGATCCGTTTCCTCCCGTTAAGTTTTTGATCTTTTTATGTAGGGGAAAAGTGTCATGCTTCTGTTCTAGGGATTCTATTTCTATGCATTGATCTTGTAGCCATGATTCTTTTGCCTCTTGAATCTATTTTTTAATGATTTTGTTTATTTCTTTGTATCTTTCCTCATTCTTATTTCTGTGTTTTCTTCGTTCTTCCATTAGCTCTAATATTTCTTGTCCCATCTTGACAAGAAATATTAGAGTGTTTATATTGTTTTCTGGTTTAAGTTTAATATTTACCATTAAATTACAGATATTTTTGATTTTATTCCACATATCATCCACACTTATGTTTTCTTGATTAATATCTGAGATTACCATGCTGTTTATTTTGTTGTTGATCTCCTCTTTGACTTCGTCTCTTGTGGTTTTTTCTTTCAATTTCTGGATGTCCGGACGTTTTTGTGCTTTTCTTTTATGGACTTTTTCATGTGGAGTTTGAAACGTCCTAGTAAAAGATTATGGTCTAATGGAACATCTGCTTCCGGATATGTTTTTGCGTATTTTATGGAATTCTGAAATCGTTTGTTGATGATGATGTAGTCAATCTGGTTTCTAATAATTTTTTTTTGGGCAGTCAGCTGGAGATTTCCAGGTGTGGAGTCTTTGAAGTGGTAATTGGAAAAAGGTGTTCATTATTGCACTATCCGTTGCCTGGCAGAACTGAACCAGACAGTCTCTTCTATCATTTCGCATTCAAAGTGTCCCACAATATTGCCAACAACTCCTTTGCCTACTTTGGCGTTGAAATTTCCTAACAGGATATTCACTTCGTGTTTTTTGGTATGTTTTAGGGATTCTTTTAATTGTTTATTGGCGACGTGCAAGTACTTGGATGTGATACGAGAAACGATCGTGCGCGAGTAGCGGAGAAAATCTTGCATTTTTTACTGCACATTTCATAGATTTCATTAATTCATATTGTCAATTGTCATATTTCATATTCGTTTGTTTATTTACACCTTCTGTCACTGAAGAAAATGGGATTTAGGAAATGCTGTGTTATAAGTTGTAAAAATACAACAAAAAATTGTCAATTTAAATTTTATTCGTTTCCAACTTCGAAGCACAAATTACTACAAAGAGAAAAGTGGATTTATATCATAAAAAAGGATAAGTAACATAACCTAAATTATGCATTATTCTTGCGCTCGATTTTAATGTCAGTTTGAAATAAATAATAAATAAAAGTTCACTTTTAAGTGTAAATTTTAGTTTCATAATACTCACTTGAGTTCATTTTAACCCAAAAATTAAGTTTAATAATTAAATTTTATTTTTTTGAAGTTTTCAAAAATGCATCAAGTTAAAGTTTTTTCTGAAGATGCATTAAGATATATTCGCTGTCCAATTGTTTACAGGGAAATAATTAATTGTTCAAACCAATATGATGATATCATGGGCTTAACCTGCTAATTTATGCATAATTTATGTATTAGCATTATTTATGGTAATTTATTTTTCTTAATTCTTCCACATAATTCTTCCATTTTTTTTGACATTTGCCACTACTAAAGCTTTTCCCTTTGACTCAGTGCTTGGTTGAACAGTTATTTGGTGATTTACTTTCTCAAATCCAATTTTTATTATTGCATCCATATTAACAGTAATGCTGTAATTGAATATTATATTTATTTGTATTTATACTACATACAACGTTTACCTTTTAATAACATACCGACTGTCCGACATAACCTTAATCTTACTTTTTCTTCTTATTCTTTTTTGGGGCTACGTCCTTGACAGTTATCCGGTTACCTCGATCTAACATGAAAGACCAGTAAATTTTGCTGATTTACGACACCAGGTGTCGCTGTTCCAAACTTGCACAGTCCCAATAGAATATTTCTATTTCCTGCTCTGAGCTTTCCAAAGTTGAAGCAAATGCTTGAATAATGTTTACGTTTACTGGTTTAACATTAATTTTGAGTAATGCAGCTCTATCTGATATTCCTATACAACTAAGTACACATTTGTCAACTTCTTATTTACTGTTATAGCCACTCCGTTTTTTTTTCTTGCTGTAGTATCTCCACAGTAGTATATTGTGTGGTTTTCTATTTCGCACTGCTTCACTGCATCCAAGTATGTGAATGTTGAGTCTTCGCAATTCTTTAATTAGGTTTATCGCTTTTCTGGCCTGGAATAAACGTCATTCATTCCATGTACCAATCTTCTTATCATGCTTCAATCCAAATCTTTGTGGCAATCGGGAGATTCTTAGCACCCTCTCCCTACTTAAGGGGTGCCCAGAACTAAGGGCCGTTTTTATATTGACTCGACTTGAAGTAGATCTATCTCATACCGGGATCGTACAAAAGTATCTAGCCGTTAGCACAAAAAAGATTATTGACATAATGAAAGAGGCAAAATATTTTGCAAAAGACTTAATATATTGATAATTGAAAAGAAGAAGCATTGGACATAAATAAATAGAAGAAAGTAGTTAAGGAATATATGAAAAGACTATAAGAAATATTAAATGTATGTAAACAGTAATTGTAATGGAAAATATAAAATTTTCAGCCCAGGCCTTCATGTAATCTTGGACTTTATAAATAGAATTGTATTTATACTGCTTCAATAAAAAAATATGTTTCTATACCATATTATGAGTAATATCATATTTCTTTTTTGCAGCTGTTTCTGTGGTTATTCTTGGAATATGCTTCTGCTGTATAAGAAGATGCTTCCGGAAGCGAAGAGCAAAGGATGGCAAAAAGGGCATGAAAGGAGTAGACTTAAAATCTGTGCAGTTATTGGGATCGTCGTACAAAGAAAAGGTGAGGATTACAATTATTAGGTATTTATTAATATCTTTTACATATCTTAACATAATTGTCAACTAATGTTGATAAAATTACTTTATATGAATGTTTTCTCCGTAGGTACAACCAGATATGGACGAATTGACAGAAAACGCAGAAGAACCAGATGAAGGTGAAAAACCTGAGGTTCAGAAACTAGGCAAGCTGCAGTATAAGGTATGCTATTTAAACCTCTATATGATTTTTTTTTATTTTAATATATCTCAAATTATTTGATACAATGATAAACGAATAAATATTTTTCTTTAAGTGCCATTATCTCAATTGTAATAAGCAAACCTGCCTATTGCAAAAAATATCCGACATACCTGTGTTTAACTTAGTTGACAAATGATGGCATAGCAAAAATTCTCCAACTTTAGCTATACCATTTCCTAATATAACTTTCTAATTAGAAATCGATATTTCCAATTTAATTTCGATATTCTTTATTCCCAAACCTAGTTAATTTCCCTTCTTTTGATGATAACAACGCCATTCAACTTCAGAAACAACTTGCTAAATCTGATAAACCACATAGGATTTTACAAGATGGAAAAAAAGACGTTATAGCACCAATAACAACAGAAAAATGGGAAGAATATTTCAAAAATTTACTAACAGAACAAAGGCCAGAATTTGCTAACATGGAAGACAACACGATAGGTATACGTATAAATTCACCATTACAAATCAGTAAATCAGAGATGGAACAAATAACCGAATCCCTGAAAAATGGAAAATCTCCTGGTCCCGGTGACATCCCTGCAGAATTAGTGAAAGCCGGTACAGACAAACTCTTTCAAGACTGCTTGAATGGGGCCAAATTACCAAAAGAATGGAAATGATCTATCATGTCATCATCATTATCATCATCCAGCCTCTATTTATCACGTCCACTGCTGGACCTAGGCCTCCCTTAAACTCCTCCATTCCTCACGATTTTGTGCTCTTTGTTGCCAATTTTTAGTGATAAGCCTGATGTCGTCGGCCCAACGTGTAGGTGGTCTTCCTCTACTGCGTTTGTCTGCTCTTGGCCTCCAATTTGTAATTTTGCTCGTCCATCGTTAATCGTGCATTCTCGCTACATGGCCTGCCCAACTCCATTTTAGTTCCGCTATGCGTTCCACAACATCAGTAATACTCGTTCTTCTTCGCAGATCTTCGTTTCTTATTCGGTCCCTCAACGTCACTTCCAGCATAGACCGTTCCATTCGTCTCTGTGTCACTCTCAGTTTCGAAGCCGTGGTCTTGTTTAAAGTCATAGTTTCCGCCCCATAGGTCATGACCGGTAATACGCATTGGTCAAACACTTTTCTTTTGAGGCTGATTGGTATGTTGGCCCTAAGTGTGTCTAGCAGTTTTCCAAAGGCTGCCCATGTTAAAGTAATTCGTCTTTGGATCTCACATGTTTGGTTATCCCTGCTGATTCTTATTTCATGACCCAAATACGTATATTTCTCCACCAGTTCTACCACTTTATCTTGAATAGTCAAATGGTTATTGGGGACCAAATTTGTCATAAACTTAGTTTTGGTCAAGTTCATTCTCAGGCCCACCTTCGAACATGCAAAATCCAATTCGTTTATCATATCTGTAGCTTCTCCTAAATTATCTGTGATAAGGACAATGTCATCTGCGAAACGGAGATGGTTAAGCTTTTCGCCGTCTATCGTTACTCCTCTGTGGTCCCAATTGATCATCTTAAAGGCATATTCTAATGCCGTTATGAATAATTTCGGCGACAATGTATCTCCTTGCCTTATTCCACGATTTATTTTTATTGGTCGGGTTTTATTGTCTATTTTAACAGTCATAGTGGCATTTTTGTAAATATTATAAATAAGCTCACTATACCTATGGTCAATCCTGCTGTCATTTATTGCTTCTATAAGGCTCTCTAATTCAATCGTGTCGAACGCTTTATGAAAATCTATGAAAGTGAGAACAAGAGGTTTGTTATATTCTATAGATTTTTCAATAAGTGTTTTTACTGTGTGGAGGTGATCATTGGTACCATAATTTGAGCGGAATCCTGCCTGCTCTCTCGGTTGGTAGAAATCTAATTTTTTCTCCAATCTTGATGTCACTACCCTAGTGAAGAGCTTGTATATGTGGTTCAACAGGCTAATAGGTCTATAATTTTCTAGGTCCATTCTATCTCCTTTTTTATGCAAAATGATGGTTGTAGCATTGTTCCACTCTTTGGGCACCTCTCTTTGCTGCAAACATAGATTGAATAGTTTCCTTAATTTATTTAATAGCAAATCTCCTCCATTTACGATAGCTTCTATTACGATTCCATCCTCTCCTGGGGCTTTGTTATTTTTCATTTTTCTTAATGCTTGTCGAATCTCATCTAGCTTTATCTCTGGCATTAATTCGGAACCTTGATTCTTGATCTTCTTTGAAATGGCTGTTTGTATTCCTGTTTTATCTTCTCGGCTACTTCTATATAAGTCCTCGTAAAACTCTTCGACGACCTGTATTAACTCGTCTCTACGTGATATTATTTCATTTTGCTTGTTTCTTAATTTATGAATTTCGCAGTTCCCATTCGTTAGCTTTCTACGTAGAACTTTTAGGCTGTTATTTTCCTCTATAGTGCGTTTAATATAATCGGTATTAAATTTCCTTAAATCTCTTCTAATTGCTTTCGAAACAGTTTTGTTCATTTTTCTTAAAGTGTTGCTATCTAAATTCTTATCGCTTCTCATTTGTCTTCTTTGATCCAAGAGCGTTTCAGTATATGGACTTATTTTACTATCTGATTTTCTTTTAGGACAGTGCACTCGGTGACTTTCTTGTACGGCGTTTATGATGCAGTTATTCAAGTCGTTAATATCGTTAGCGGAGGTTTCCTGCAATAGAAGCTTATTATTGATATGTGTCTAATATTGGTTGACATCTAATGGGGGTGTCCAGATACCATGAAATTTATTTTTAATCATTATATTCCTTTCTCTTTTTATATTGATTTGAACTTTCGCTCGTATCATCCTGTGGTCGCTGTTTGTGGTGAACTTGTTGAGTACTGTTACATCTTTAATTATTTGTTTTTGATCACTTATGATGTAGTCGATTTCGTTTCTTGTTCTACCGTTTGGACTTTCCCAAATCCATCTTCTGTGCATATTTTTGTGAAAGAACCTGTTCATGTTGAATAAGTTATTCTGGAGTAGGAATCCTAGTAGTTTTTCTCCTCGATCATTTCTTCCTGGGGAACCGAATTGTCCTAAAGATGTTTCTAGATCTGCTTCTTTTACCCCTTTTTTTGCGTTGAAATCGCCACATAAAATTGTGAATTGAGTACGAGAATCATCAAGCGCAGTGGATACATCGTCATAAAACATTTCAATTTCTTCGTCTGTATGGTCTGTTGTTGGAGCGTATACTTGGATAATTTTGAGTTGATACCTACTGTTTAGCTTCAGAATAAGATATGCCACTCTAGATGTAATACTTTTGATGTTTATTATCTTGTTCGCGTGATTTTTATGGACAAAGAAACCGATGCCTCCAACTGATGTAGTTTCAGGACCAATCTGATAGAATATATGCCCTGATTTGAGTGTTTTTCAAAGTTTCACCTCTCATTCTAACTTCGCTAATACCTATGACATCCCATTTTATTTTATTCTATCATGTCAACTATCCACAAAAAAGGCAGCAAGGATCACTGTGAAAATTACAGAGGAATTGCGGTAAACAGCACAATAAGTAGGATGTATGGGAAACTTATTAAGAACAAAATAGAAAATGACTATAGAGATTACGAAGCAGAAGAGCAAGCTGGTTTTAGAGCTGGGCGATCCACAGTAGACCACCTGTACTCTATTACGCAAGTTAATGAAAAAAAAACAGCCTTCAATAAAGAAGTTCACCTCGTGTACGTAGACTTACAAAAAGCATATGACAGTGTACCCCTAAGTCAACTATGGTCAGCCCTACAGCAAACCAACATTAAGCATGGTCTTATCAAAGCAGTCCAAAGTGTGTATAATGGAACGACTGCAAAAATTAAAACTGAATCAAGGATATCTGAAGGATTTAAGGTCACGAAAGAACTAAAGCAGGGTTGCTGTATTTCACCTACCCTTTTCAAAATTTATCTGGAACAAGCACTCAAGCTGATTGCCCAGGATCATGACGACTTGAGTTACATGACTCGAAAGCTAATAGAAGAATATAACAAATGGAGTCTCGAAGTCAACATTAAGAAAAGTGAAGCCATGTGTATTGGAAAGACAAAACAATCCATTATATTAGACGATGGGGTAGAAATTAGAAACTGTGATAAATACAAGTACTTGGGTATGAAGATAACTCAAGATGGAACACTTGATACTGCTATAAAAGACAGAAACATACAGGGTAGAAAAGCCATATCCGTGATGAATGGCATTCTGTGGGACCAAACAATATCTAAAACAAACAAACAACTCATATACAAACACCATACTTAAAAGTGTAAGGGCAGTGAAGTTTGGTCAATGAAACAAAGAACAGAGAAACTGTTACTAACAACAGAAATGGACCTCTGGAGAAGAGCAGCAGGCAAATCAAGAAGAGATCGGATACCAAATGAGAGAATACTAGAAATGATGGGAGTCAAGCATACAATAGTTGATGACATAAAAACAAAACAGTTAATATGGTACGGCCACGTACAGAGAATGCCAAATGACAGGATTCCAAAACAGATTTTGACGTGGACACCACAAGGGAGAAGGAAAAGAGGAAGACCGAGAAGAAGCTGGGGAGGGAATTGAAAAAGAACTAGAGGAAAGAGAAATCCCTTTAGACCTGTGGTTGAATAGAGAAGAATGGCGGTTAGGAGTCGGAAGGCGTCGGAGAACGCTGTAAACCGATATTAGTAGTGAACAAAATCCATTTTAGGATTTGGTTGTGCGCTACATATCCAAAACAATTAAGAACACATTATGCTTAAATTAAACCAACAATGTTCCATTTATTCCACAAAACTGTTTGCAATATATCAAGCTCTGGAGTGGACTATTCAAAAAAAAATGTGTGATCAACAAATAGTAATCCTGTCGCATTCAAAATCGGCTTTGTCTTCCTAAATTATTCGTATAAACATTAATACAAAAACAGTATTATCGTCAAAATTTTAGAAAATCAACTAAAGCTACTTAAAAGACATAATTCAGTCT